GCATCCCAAGAAGCTCGAAGTAAGCTTCTTGATGTAGTCTGCAACACAGTAGGATCCACAACACTTTAATGCCCTCTGAGAGTCATATCTGCTGCTCTCCCAGCCTCTTCTTGCCCCCCGTCATGCTGCTTATGATCAGTACTCTGGATATGGTGAGAGATAAATGGGCCTCTTTGAAAGTGTTCCACATAGTGGAGGAAGCTGTGTGCTTGCTCACACACTCTCACTGTTCCCCATGGCAGAAAGCACTAGCCAAGAAGGTCTCTTTCGACAGTGAGCTGTGCTGTCTTAGGGGAGGGGTGATGCCTGTAAAGTCAACTGTTCCTCTTACCTTCTCCATGTACCCAAATTCATATTTTTTTGCTCTATTGGTGTGCTGAACCTTCTCTGCTGGAAACCTGGACTTTCACAAAGAGTCTTTTATACGTGGGTAATTGTCTAAGACAATGTCCTCCAGGGGATCCTGGACTATGTTTCAAAGGGGCTGAAGCTAGTTCATGGGCCACTACAGGATCCACAGCTGGGATGAAGCCCTATTACCTAACACACAGGTAGGGAAGACTCTTCCTGGGTCCATTTGCGTATGTGCTGGATCCCACAGCTCCCACAAAGGCGCTTTTGTCTGTGGATGGATACCAAATTGTTATTGTTGAAGGAGTATATGAGTGAGAGACATTTTATTCAGACATATTGCTGACATCACTCTATCATCATTTTTGTGTGTGTTTGAGGAAGATTAGCCCTGAGCTAACATCTGTTAATCCTCCTCTTTTTCCTGAGGAAGATTGGCCTTGCGCTAACATCCGTGCCCATCTTCCTCTACTTTATATGGGACACCACCACAGCATGCCTTGACAAGCAGTGTGTTGGTGCGTGGCCAGGATCTGAACGTTGGAACCCCGGGCCACCAAAGCAGAGCGCATGCACTTAAGCACTATGCCACGAGGCCATCCCCATCATCATTTTTTCTTAATGCTCAATAGGATCATTCCCACCAGTATACCAAAAAAAAAAAAAGCAGGAGTAGTTCCTATAAGTAAAAAATATTACCTTGACCACACAGCTTCTTCCAGCTACCACCCCATTTTCTATCACCTTTAAATAGCAAAATGCTTTGAAATAATTACGCATATTAGTTATCTCCACTTCCTTTTCTTCCATTAACAATCTCTATTTCAACTAGATTTTAATTGAAAATTTTAATGTATACATATTGTAGAAAATTCAAAAAGAACAAAAGGACAAGTGGTAAAAAGTTACTCACTCTCCCATACTAGATCCCTAACCCACCTCCTTTGATCCCTAGTCCATTGACTATTACTAGTATCCCTTCTCTCTCTAATTTACCTGAGATTTTTTGTCCTTACCATTCCATGGAAATAGAGTTCTCAAATGACCTTCACATTTTCAAATTCACTAGCAGCATTTGATACAGTTGATTCTCCTTTGATAGCTCCTAAAAAGATAACCTTTTTGGTTACTCTGTCACTATGTTTTCTTGTATTCCCTTCTATCATGCTAGTTATTCCTTTTCAACCTTTGTTGCTAGTTTTTCTCCTCTCCAATCTTTAAATGTTGAAAAGTCCAAAAACTCAATCCTTAGACCTCTTCTCTTTCCTATCTATAACTATTCAGTATACGATATCATCCAGTCCCATGGTTTTATATGCCATCTATATGCTGATGAATTCCAAATTTGTATCTTTATACCACCCAGATCTCTAATTTCCAGACTCATATATGCAACTGCCTCATTGACATATCCACTTGGATGTCTAAAAGGTATCTTAAACTTAACATGAAAACAAAATTCTTGCTTCATTCTAAACCCACTCATCCATATGTATTCTCCATCTCAGAAATTGGCACCACTATTCACTTGGTTGTTAAAGCAAACACACATACACAAACACATCAACATATCTTTTGTGTCATCCTTGCCTTCTCTATTTTTCTACCAGCTGATGTGTAGTCAGCAAATTTTATAGGGACTGCCTTCAAAATATATCTAGAATTCAGTCACTTCTCATCACCGATTCTAAATCATCTTGATCTCTTATCTAGATTATTGTGAAATCCTCTTAATTTGTTACCTTGTGCATTAGGTTCCAATTGCCTCTGTGAAAATTACCACTAATTTAATGGAAAAAATGACATAAATTCCTTCTCTTATAGTTCTAGAGGAGAGAAGTCCAAAATGAGTCATTTTTAGCTGAAATCAAGTGTTGGTAGGGCTGAGTCCTTCTGTAGGCTTCAGGGGAGAGTCCATTTGGTGCCTCCTCCAGTTTCTGGTGGCTACCAGCTTTTCTTAACATCCATACTTCCACTAAATGTTTTTTCACAGCAATCTAGATTTTTTCTATCATGCTCCTCTAAATTCTTCCAGCCTCTGCCCACTGTCCAATTCCAAAGTCACTTCCACATTTTTAGATATTTGTTACAGTAGCACCCACTACTGTTGTATTAATTTTCCATATGCATTAATTAATTAATTTGTATTAATTTTCTATTATTGCTGTGGAAAAATACCACAAACTCAGTGGACTAAACAACACAAATTTGTTTTCCTACAATTCTGGTGGTCAGAAGTCTGAGATAAGTTTTACTAGGCTAAAATCAAGATGTGAGCATGGCAGGTTTCTTCTGGATGCTCTGAGGGTAGAATCCATTTTCTTACCTTTTTTTAGCTTTTAGAGACCACCTGAAATCTTTGGCTTGTGTTGCCTTTCCTTTTCTTCAAAGTGCATCACTCCAATCTCTGCTTTCATCATCAGATGAAATTTATCAGTGATTACATTTAGTGCCCTCCTGGATAATCCAGAATAATTTCCTGATTTCAAACTTCTTAACTTAATCATACCTACAAAATCTTTTATGCCATATAAGGTAATATTCACAGGTTCCAGGGATTTGGATATGGATATTTGAAGGGTCATTTATCAGCCTTCCACAGTGCTCAATATTTATTAGTTGAATGAATTAATTAATAAAAACCACATCATAATTTTTTTATTCAAATTTGAAGGATTGACTCATTCAATTACCAAGGGATACAATTTCAAGAAGAGTAATGAATGAAGTAAAAGTAGAGCAAAAATAATAGGACAGGAAGGAAGTCATGTTTATAAAAAGTAGATTTGAAGTGGTGGATAGATAAACTGGGAAGGAATAAACAATTTTGAGAGCAGGATTTTACTCCAGAACAAATCAAGCAAATTAAAATTATTCAATTTTATTAAATGATATAATATATTTGAAAGTGAATTTTAAACACCAAAATACTATGAAAGCACAATAAACATATTATTTATTATTGTTATTGCTATTGTCATGACATTTCGCTCAAAAGACTTCATTATGATGTCCAAAAAAGAAATGTGCCTTTTCTTCTATTCATTTTTTTCCTACATTCCCATTATTAAAAAAGGGAAGAGTGATACAGTTCATAATCATTGGCTAAAAGAAGCCCAATTTGTCATTCTATGCCATTACAGTTATTGATTTTTGTGTCCTGTTTAAGAAATATTTATCTACTCCTCTATCATTAAGGTATTCTCCTATGTTACCTGACAGGAACTTTATTGTTTTACCTTTCAGCTTTAGGTGTACAATACATCTAGGATTGATTTTGGTGTGTGATGTGAGATAAGGGTCAAGAATCACATTTTTTCCCTTAAAGATACTTAAATCACTAGTACCATTTATTGAAAATACCATCTTTTCCCAATGCATAACAACTTTGGGATAATTTGTGTGACCATAGCTATATAGGTCTCTTTTTGCATTCTCTATTATTTTCCAATGGTTATTTGTCTTTGTGCCAATACTATGTTGTCTTAATTGCTGTAATTTTATAATAAGTTGTTATATTGATATGTGGTAATGCTTATCTTTCACACTTATGGTTTTTCTTCCAAATTGTCTTATATATTTTTAGTTCTTTCATTCCTATATAAAATTTAAAATCAACTAGTCAGTTATCACAAAAAGTCAAAAAGTTTTATCGGGATTGTACTGAATCAATATACCAATTTGGGAAGAACTGCTATACTTATAATATTGAGTCTTATAGTCCCTGAAAATGGTATATACCTCCATTTATTTATGTTTTCTTTAATTTATCTTAATATTTGTTTCTACTCTTCAGTGAAGAGATATTACATCATTATATTTTTAGATTTATTCCAAAGTACTTGGTGTTTGTGATGTTATTATTTAAATGGTATTATTAAAATATTTTCTAATTGTTTTGTTGTACATGGAAATATAATTAATTTTCACATTTAGTCTTTGTATATAACAATATTGCTAAATTCTTTTATTAATTCTAATTATGTGTCTGTAGCTATTTTAGATTTTCTGTGTAAACTGTAGTGATGCCTGTAAATGATGACAGTTTTATTTCTTCTTTTTCTATTTTTAGACTTTTAATTTATTTTTTTCTTGTCTTATTGCACTGGCTAGGACCTCCAGTACAATGTTAAATTGAAGTTGTACTAGTGGACATCCTTTTCTTGTTCCTGAGCTCAGGGGAAATGTTTACAACACTTCACCATTGAATATTACATTTTTTCTAGTTTTATTTAGATTCTCTTTATCAGACTAAGGAAGTTCCCTTCTATTCCTTGTTTGCTAAAAAATTTGACCATAAATGAGTGTTAGATTTTATCAAAGGCTTTTTCTGTATATTGAAATGATCATATAGCTTTCCCTCTTTTATTCTAATGTGTTAATGCGGTGAGTTTCAAATGTTAAATCAACCTTAAATAAGCCTCATTTGGTTATGATACAATATCCTTTCTATGTATTCAATTTGATAAACTGTTTAAGAATTTTGGCATCTGTATTTATGAGAGATATAGGCCCATAATTTTATTTTCTATTAATGATCTTGTCAAATTTTTCTATCAAGGTTATGCTCTTCTCATAGAACAAATTGATGTCTTCTGCTTTTTTTATTTGGAAGAATTTGTAAATAATTGTTTATATTTCTTCCTTAGGTGTTTGAGAGAATTAATCAATGAAGACATCCAGATCTGGAATTCTTTATGTCGGTAAGTTTTTAATTTTCGGGTCAACATTTTTATTAAATATACAATAATTCAAATTTTTCTATTTCTCCTTATTTAAGTTTTCATATGTGTTATTTGTCAAAGAATTTACCTATTTCATCTAAATTTTCCAATTTTTTGGCATAAAGCTTTTGTTTTCTTTTTCATTGCTTTCTGTTATTTTTATTATTATTTTCCTCCTCCATACATTGGCTTCAATTTGCTGTTCTATTTCTAGCTTCTTGAGATGAATACTTAAATCATTGATTTTCAGCCTCTCTTCTTTTCTAATATATGAATTTAAACCTATGAATTTCTAAATAGGTCTTTGCATCCCACAAATATTTAAATATCATATTTTCTTTATGATATTCAAAATATTGTTTAAAATATATTCTATTTTTTATTGTGATTTATTCTTTAACCCATAGACTGTGTTTTTAATTTCCAAATGTTTAGGTAATTTTTAGTTTTTTTTTGTTATTGATTTCTAGATTTCTTCAACTATGGTCAGCAAACATATGCCATATGACTTCAGTACTTTGACACTTGTTGAGACTTGCTTTATGGCCCAGTCTATGGTCACTTTTGTTAAATGTTGCATGTGAACTTGAAAGAATGTGCATTGTGCAGTTGTTTGGTGTAGTATATTATTTGTATTACATCAAGTTTTTTAATCTTGTTATTCAAATTTTCTATATTTCTACTGATATCTTTTTGTCTTCTTGGTCTCTTAGTTACTAAAATAAATATGCTAAAGTCTCCACCTATAATTGGGAGTTTGTATATTACTCCTTTTAGTTTTATAAATGTTTGCTTTATGTATTTCAGAGCTATGTCAGTGGGTATATTCAAATTTAGAGTAGTTGCATCTTTCTATTGGATTGACACTTTTACCATTATAAAATGTCCCTATTTATCTTTATCTTATGTTAACTTTGTTTGACATTAGTATAGTGCCATGAGCATACTATTCATTTGTATGTGCACAGTATTTCTTCTCCATTTTTTTTTAATTTTTAACCTTTATGTGTCCTTATTTTTAGGTGCATGTCTTATAATCCCCTGTGACATCTTTGTCTTTTAAATGGTGTATTTAATCCATGTACTTTTTTTGTGGTAAGAACACTTAACATGAGATCTACCCTCTTAACAAATTTGTAAGTGTACAACACAGGATTGTTAACTATGGGCACGATATTATACAGAAGATCTCTAGAATTTATTCGTCTTAATCCATTTACTTTTAATATAATTACTTTATATTTGGATTTAAATCTAACAACTCATTTTTATTTGTTATTTGTCCCATATTTTTGTTCTTTTTTCTCCTTTCTTGATTTATGTATATTAATCAAGCATTTTTATTAACCTCCCCCATTATTATCTTATTAGTTATACATTCCTTTATTATTCTTTTGTAGTTATCTTAGAGATTACAACATAATTTTTTTATTTATTAGAGTTTACTACAAATTAGTATTTTTACATCTCCCCAAACAATGCAAGCACCTTACAACACTTTTACTCCACCTATTCCACCCACTTTTATGCACTATTACTACCATAAGTTTTATTTTTCATAAAATTTTCATTTTATTTTAAACTCAACAGATTATTATATTATTATTTGTAAATACTTAATATTCATATTCTGTACCCACATATTTGCTATTTTTGATGCTCTTTATTTCATCTTGTATTAACGTGCATCATCTTGGGTCATTTCTTCCTACCTGAAGAATTCTCATTTGTGTTTATTTTAGTACATTTTGCTGGCAATGAAATTCTTACATTTTTTTGCATGTAAAACTGTCCTTATTTTATGTTCATTTCTGAAGAATATTTATGCTGAGTTAAAAATCCTAAATTGGCAGGTTTTTTTTTTTTCTTTCAGAACTTTAAAAATGTCATTCCGTTGTCTTCTGGCTTCTATCACTCATTTTCCCGTTTATGTCAAGATATAGGTTAGGATCACCTATGTACCAAAGGAATATACACATAATCATTTATAACATAAAAAAACTAATACACTTTGAAATAAAGAAAACTACTCAGAGATTTAACTCGATTTGAACTTCCAATATTTTGAGACTTACACCACATCTATATAAAGCAGGCGTGTTATGATATTTGGTTAAACTTTACCTTTTCTTACTGTTCCTTGACTGACTTATCTAGTGCTCTCCAAAGTGAGGTGCATGTGCAACACAATCCATTGGAGTATGGAAATAAGATATTAGAACTCCAATTTATATATTTTATTTCATCTTTTGAAATTTTCTATCTTAATGTATGATTTATGAGGTATATTATTACAGTAGAATATAAGTTACACACACATATTGAGTTGTGCTCAAAAGAAAATTTGGAAAATAATATTTTAGACTGTAGACAGGAAGCCAAAATCAATGCAGGTGCAAAGTCTTTTTCCCAGAATATGAAATCAGTGATCCAGCATGTCACACTTCCAAACTGTTAAATTTCCAGGAGCCCAGGCCATAACATCTTCTAGCTACTCTATTGAATACATGTGGTTTCACTGCAGACTAATACATCATTGATCAACTGCTTTTTGGAAATGCAAAATATACAAGTTTTAACTGTTTCAGGAATCCATGAAGTTTCATTTTTCAAGACCATTCAGAGCAGTGGTTCTTAATCAGAGCTGAGTATCCAAATCACCTGGGAGAAGTTTTAAATACAGACTTGATTAAGCTATACCCAGAGATTCCGCTCCATGAGTCCAGGAGCAGCTCTCAGGCACCTTTACATTTTTAAAATTTCCAAGTTAATTATGATGTTTACCTCCAGTTTAGAACAACTAGACTAAATATTTTTATTATTCAGTGTCTCCAAAATCTTCCCTAAGTAAATCAGTAGTTATTTAGTATGAATATGGGCCAGGCTTTGTGCTGGATACTAGAGTTTTACTTAGGAAATAAATATAGATTTGACTCTAATAGAAATACATTTGACCATTTGACTTATTTTTGTTTATGAACTTGATGGTTTAAGTGTAAAAAAATCAAGCTCTTGGGTATATGTGTATATAAGTAAAATCTCAGAATTATCAATGGTCACAACTCATTGTTGCTGGTAAATAGTAAAAAGTAATATTTTTAGAACAAATTATATCTTGTATATCCTCAGTAGATAATATGATTATTATCAAATCAAAGGGGCACTTTCCAAATGAAAAATATCATGGACCAATTTTCCCTGCGTGTAGGAACAATTTAAAATCCAGATCAACACTTATGTGCGCCCCTCTCATGCATCATTAGTGGTTTGATTTAATATAAGCTCTGATAATATTAAAAAGTTGTGAGATTTTTTCAGAACTTATTTAGTGAACTTACTTAGAAAATATGTGTGTTTACTACCGGTTTAGACTTTCTCACACAAGGATTAGTGGAGTTGGTTCAATTTACTGTTCTATATAATTAAATGTTTTTTACACATTTTAAAATTTATCAAATTAATGTTTTTTATTGTAGCTTTTGGTCCATATTTTATTTCCATTCAAGTTTCTAATGAAACTACACTGATGAAAATACATTTCTGTTCATCTTTAACTCAGTTTATGGGAGGGGAACTGTGATGTGAATTACAGGTAGACATTCTTGGATAATGGAGTTCAGAGAATGCAAAGGTTTCTCAAAGTGTTGTTTTTGAAGCGTTATTAATAATAATAGTTATTATTATTTTTATTAGCCATTGTACAAATTCAATTAAAGCATTTTTCTTTTAACAGACCAGAAGTAAACATCAGAACATATGATAATGTCACACCAAGTAAGAATTTAGTCTTTGGAGTTCAATATTATTTAGATTATATTTGAAACTAATTTTAAGGACAAATGAATAGCATCCTCCATTCAATGTGACAAAGCATAAAGTGCCCTGAATTTTTTCTTAAAATTTAAAAGAAGCGTGTATGCTGGTATGTCTGTGTTTAAAATAATTCTGGCTTTGATGTGGGTTTTTACTAGCTAGTTTAAAAGGAAATATTTAGTTTGTTCTTCATTATTATAAAAATCAAGGTTAATTGCATAAGGTTCCCTTCTGTTTAAAGTTCACAATTATAAAACCCAAAGTAGAGAAGAAAAATATAGCCAGGAAGATGAAAGTGGACGGTCCATTTGTTGAACAGCTACAACTTGAGGAAAGTTCTCCTTAATATTTTGAGCTGAAGTCTGCCTGAATTGTTACAACTTTTACCCATTGGTTCTAGTTCTTCCTTCAGGAAACACATAAAAGAAGACTCTAACATTGTGGTTAAGAGCATGGACTCTGGAGCCAAACTGTGTTTCAATCTTAATTCTTCTACTTACTTTGTGATTTGGGGCAAGTAATTTAACCTCTCTCAGTGCTTCGTTTTTCTACATCTGTACAATGAAGGCAATTAAAAATTATATTATCTAATTCAAATGGTTGTTGTGAGGATTAAATGAGTTGATATGTATAAAATGCTTGAAACACAGTTTGGCACATAGTGAGCACTATATAAGTGCTAGCAGTTGCAGCTATTCTATCATTACTATTACTACTCCTCTTCCATATAACAGCTCTTTAAATATTTAAATATAGTGGTCACATCTCTCATTATTCTCCTCATCTACCGGAGAAACTATCCTGAGTTACCTCACCAGTTCCTCTTTTAACATAGCTTCCAGATATTTTCATCTCCTGGTCACTCTATTCTTCAAGTGTGTATATGCCTTTCTTTAAATAGGGTTCCCAGAACTGAATGCAGTATTTTGGTCTGTGGCCCTAAATTCTGTGTCTTAGGATGTCGTTGAGGTCAAAGGAGGGCTAAAATAAACACTTAGATTTAATCAATAGAGATTTTTACTGACCACTCTATGCTCGGCATTGTGCTATTATGGGGACAATAGAAGTCATATTGTCTGCAATCTAACCAAAATAACATATAGAAAAGAAACCAAGATAGAGGAAATTATGGAGATGTTTTAAAGGAAACTGAATCCTTCTCTATTTTCTATTCCTACTGTGTAATTGTATTATTTTAACTATTATGGTTTAAGTAACCCTCTGTGAAAATTGGTTTAATCTAGAAAATAAAATTTAAAATGTCATTTTAAACATAATTCAGGGCTAAATGGGGAAATCAGATTTAATTTTTCCTAATTTATATGCAAATAAACTATAAACTCCAGGGGGAAAAGCTCTAGTTTGAGTTATAACTTAGCTTAATTCAAACAATATATTTCTTCCTCAAGAATATTTCAGTGTTGATGAAAGTTTGGCTATTAACTGCAAATTGTTTATTGTCTTTTCTCATGTTTAGTCAGTGAATCAAGGAGGACATTATGGAATCAAGAATACTTCACTATGACATTTCCCAAACCACCCCAGCCAGGTAGAAAAAAGATATCAAGACCTTCAGAATTACAAATCACAGTTCCTGTAAGTATTGAAAAGGTCATTTTTAAACTAAATCTAAGACAATCCAACAATATATAAATATAAATAAGATATATATAATTTGAATTTTACTACCTACTGGAAGCAGATATTTTTAAATTTATAATCCCCTGTAAAATGATTGCCCCCACCTGTTTCAGATTAAACTTTTTATTTATACATATTTCTCCATTTCAAAGACATCATGTAGCTAATAGGCTAGGCAAGCTGGAGAACCTAATGCTACAACTGGTGGGATCTCTCAAGACATGTTTACCAGCTGCAAAAACGTCTAAAATTTGAATCTTAGAACAGGAGCTGATCTTAATGAGGTTTCAGGACCTCTACATTTTCTTTAATCTGGAACTCAGGATACTACATACTGAGAGATTCAAGTTTTCTACTGTTTTTGTAAAGTGAAGTTATCCTATCAATTAGAAAAAAGAAAAAAGAGCCTACAGGGATCACCCAAGGTGATACCAAAATATGTTTTAAAAGCATCTCCCAAAGCAGAGTTACTGTCAATACATTTATTCAAGGGCCATTCATTATATCTGTAGTGATCCAAGTTTAATGCTTCTCTTCATGTTTCTCCTTTAATTACATATGACCGTTTCACTGACTGGTGATGTCTCTACTGGATACTTGAAGGAATATAAGAAGTAAATGTAAAATTAGTCTATGTTAGCACTATAACAACCAGATTTGACAAATATTTTGGTAGGAGTTAAAAAAATTACACTACTGCTATACAAATTAATGTGGATCAAACATTTGTTTCATTTTATGTCCTTGTTTTTGGTAGCACTTCACAGCAGGGCTCTCAGCCTCTCAATTTGATCAGAGGCTTTGAAAGCAGGAGTGGAAATCAGGCTAGGCCTGAAGGCTACAGCTATCACAAAAGTCATCATGACAAACTTCAAGAGCATCAGCTTATTTCTGATCTAACTTGGGGGTGAGGGGGTGCACAAAAAGTTCCAAAAGACCTCTCCCAAATGGGTGTCCACAAGGAACCCACTATTAATTGTAAGGATAGTCCCTGAATTGTCAGGGATCATTGTGGGCCTGTTCCAATCCAAACGTGAATCATCGAGGAAATCCTAAGGTTTCTCCTAAAGTCATTTTATTTCCAAAGTGGTGTTATCTCACATACACACACAAACACACACAACATTTAAAAAGAAAAAAAAAATTCTTGCATTTTAATAGATGTTTAATGAAAAGCTGGACTATTTTCATGTTTCAATATAAAAATATATAACTCATTCAAAAATTCTTATCATTATTCTAACCAATATTTTCAGAGACATGACAAAAGAAAATTAGAGGAAGTTCAGAAGCCAGCTCATATATGGATAAGGCATTCTTTAAGAAAAATTTTCCAAAGGCCATCTATTTACTTAACTGCAAGGAGACGGGTTCCATTCAGACATCCTTATACTCCTCAAACCCATTCTGAAAAGGCGGAATATAGAGAGTCCAAAGATATCAAAAAAGGAACAACTTTGAAGAAAGATTCCATGGAAAATACAGGCCCACATGAAACAACTTTAGAATCCAAAAAAACAGTAAATGAAGAGAAATCTAAAAGAGGAAATAAAGTAGGTAAAACTCCATCAAAATCATTGCATGAAAGTGAACTATATAAGAAGTCAAAGTCCAAGTCAGAAATAAACCCATACTCCATAGATTCTAAAATGGTCTCAATGATAGATCCAAAAAAAGATAAGAGAGATTCAAAGAATTCCAAGGAGACAGATATTGAATCCATATGTACAAAGAAGGATTCTAAGAGCTCAAAGAACAATTCTGATGCCAAATCAGAGACTTGCTCTAAAGATAGTTCAAATATAGATTTAATGATGTATTTAGAGGAGTCTGGCGCTGAATCCATGGAACTTGATATGTGGTTAAAGAATTACTCACAGAATAATTCGAAGAAGCCTTCAAAGGACTCAAAGAAGGATGCAAAGAAGAGCTCTGATGCTGAATCTGTAGATTCAAAAGATGCAAAGAAAGATAAGAAAATGACAAAGAAAGACACCAAGAAGAAGGATGCAAAGAAGGACACAGAGTCTACTGATGCAGAATCTGTAGACTCAAAGGATGCAAAAAAAGATCCAAAGAATGCTAAGAAAGATTCAAAGAAAAAGGATGCAAAGAAGGATGCAGTGTCTACTGATGCCGAATCTGAGTCTGAATTGGAGTCAAAGAAGGATAAGAAAGATGAAAAGAAGGATAAGAAAGGTTCAAAGAAGGATGACAAGAAAAAGGAGGCAAAGAAGGACACAGCATCTACTGATGCTGATTCTGAATCTGAAGGGAATGCAAAAAAGGGTAAAAAAGATGAAAAGAAGGGTAAGAAAGATGACAAAAAGCAGTCTGCAATGAAGTCTGAAGAGTCTACTGAAACTGAATCTGATTGGGAGTCAAAGAAGGATAAGAGTGATTCAAAGGCTAAGAAAGATTCAAAGAAAGATGCCAAAAAGCAAGATGCAAAGAAGGACATGGAGTCTACCGATGCTGAATTTGATGCGTCTTCCAAGAAAGACCCAAAGAAATCCAAAAAGTTAAAAAGTTCAGATGCAGAATCTGAAGAGTCACTTTATAAACCTGGGGCTAAAAAGAGAGGAGCTGATGAATCAGATGCCACATCTACAGATTCAAAGAAGGAAGCGCTGGAACTAAAGAGAGAATTCAAAATATCATCCAAAAAGACTACATTTAAAGAAAAAGGAAAAAAAAGTGCAAGTGGAATTCCTCCATCAAGAGAAAGACCACCACTACCACCTTGTGAGCCTTTACTACCATCACCGAAGGTCAAACGTCTCTGTCAGTGCAAGATGCCTCCTCCACCTCCAAAACCAAGATATGCTCCTTTGGTATGTTTACTTCTGTTTTAGTTTTAGAAAAAATTGAGTTTAAAAAAATGAAAGATATTTTAAGATTTTGAATTTATATTTTCTCTTAAGAATAGTTCTCTTTTACTGGAATATTGATAAGTTTGGAACTTGCAGGTAAAAAAGATGAAGAGTACTTCAAAAAGACTCAAAAGAGTTGCAAAACAAATGTCAAAAATTTAAGAATAATAATTAGACTGGAGCAGAGAGAACTGGCTTGTGATTTAAGAAAACATTTAAAATTATTTATAAAGAGAGTCATGTTACAAAAATGGTTAACTGTTCTATACTTAAGAAAAAACAAAAGTGAAAATTGACTGAAACTTCTACAGGAGCAGATTTAAGTGAGATATAAAGGCATTGCCTAGGAAATTACTGAATATAGTAAAACCTCAAACAAAAAACAGACATAGCAAGTTAAAAATATAACATACCAGGACTCAGATATGCAAAAATTTAAATTATTTTATCCATATATGAACTAAACTTTATTATGAGCTGTCATTCTTACTGATAATCAGAAAAAAAAGTTAACTTAGTAGAAGTAACTAGATCTCTAGTTTATAACAGTCTCTTTCAGGTTAACTCAGTCTCTTTGGGGGTAAACACCTGTAAAGTTAAAGTTTCTATTTCTCTCTTGCAGAGGATCTCCCTTTCCACCTCCATTCCTCCAAAATCTGGTTGTAAGGTGAAGCATAAGTAGATCTCTGACTTTGGATGGAGGGATTCCTGTTTCTCATGTTGTCCTCCCTTGCTGGCTCTCTCTGATCTCTGGTTGAGGTATAATTCATTTGCAGGGTTTCTGGGCATCAGCCTGTGTTTCCTCTGCTTTCACACAGTGTTCATTGTCTATTCTCAGCATGATAGGGCTGATGCCTTCTGTCCTACTAAACTCAGAGCATCTGTAGATATGGCTGGGCCTTGACCTTGAGCTTCTCATTTTAATTAATTTCCTCCCTCCCTTCCTCCTTTCCTCCCTGTCCTTCTATTATTCTTGTTCTTCCCTCTCAAAGGGCTTCTATTTCCTCTTCTAGCCTGGTGGGGATCTCCCTTTACCTTGTATTCCAAGGTTTTTCTATCCTTGGTTTATAGTAAAACCTTAGGTATAGACCTCCATTAGCTCTTCATATATTTTCCATTTTTTTTGGAATTTAGAAATCCTTTTTATCTCTCAAAAAAGCCTGAATTTAAAGTCCGTTTTTATCCTAGTGGACTAAAAAAATCATCTTTGAGACTCAAAGCTGATTAATGACTCCCTTGTTTAGGGGTCAGTCTTAGAGGTTGAGTCAATGGGTGGCTAACAACTAGGGCAATAAGATTTATAAGGAATGCAAATATATTGGTGGATAATTTCTAAGGTACGTGAGAAAAAAGGACCCTCAAATAGCTGGATTCTTTTCCACAAGCAGTTTTTATGAAAAATGAGTAAAATACAACAAAACAAGTTGGGGCTGAAGATTAATTTTAATTGTAAACAACAACTTTCAACATATGTTCTGGGCTTGTATACATTTACACCAAGTCTCTTTAATAAACTTCCATACGCATAGCTACTATACAGTTAGGCTCTTCCATCCCTACCTCTTCATTAAAACTACTCTTTTCAAGATTACCAAATATACTACTTAATGAAGGAAATTATATGGTATTTGACATTCTCCCTCTGATAACAACAATAAACAAACACATAGGGACAGAGATTGGATTGGGGGGAGGGGGGAGGGAGAGGGTGAAGGGGATGGTTTGGTACATGTGTGTGGTGATGGGTTGTAGTTGGTGTTTTGGTGGTGAACATGATGTAATCTGTGCAGAAGTGGAGGTGTAGTGATGTACACCTGAAATTTTTACAATGTTGTAAACCAATGTTACTACAATAAACAAAAAGTAAAAAAAAAAAAAAAAAAAAAGATTACCAAATAGCTTCTTGTGGCCACATCAATTGGTCTCTCCTCTCTCTTCAGCTTATTTTTCAATTCAGCAGCATCTGAACTAGCTTCTTCCTCTTTCTAAAAACACTTACTTTACTTGACTTCTATGACTCTATGCTCTCCTGTTTTTCTTCCTACTTACTGGTAGCTTTTCACCACCTTTACTGTATTCTCCTCTTCCTCACATTTAATGTTGGAATGACCTAAGACTTAGTCCTGGACCTTCTCTATCTACAGTCCTCCCTTGGTGAGTTCATCCATTCCAATGGCTTTAAAGACCATTTATGTATTGATGACTCTAAAATTAATATATCCATCTCTGTTCTTTCCATTGAGTTTGAAATTCTTATAACTAACAACCTACTTGAAATTTTCAATGTAGATTCTACTAGGCATCTCAAATGTAACATATCGCAACAATACTCTTAACTCATGCCAAAACTTATTCCTCCCCTGTCTTCTCCATCTTAGTAAATGGCACCACCATCCACCCATTTGATCTTTTAAAATCTGAATATCATTTATGATTCCTTCCTTTCCTCATTCCCTACATGTAATCAATTAGTAAGACTTGTCTACCTTACTTCCAAAATATATTCTGAATCAGTCCACTTCTCTCCATCTCAATGACTACTACCTTATGGTCTCACTCACCATCATCTCTCCTGAAATACTACAAGAGTTCCTAACTAGTCTTGCTATCTACTTTCCCCTGCTTAAAACACTCTAGTGGTAAATCATACGGTTTTTGACCTTCTCCCTCTGACTTATTTCACTTTGCATAATACCCTCAATGTCCATCCATGTTGTCACAAATGGCTGGATTTCATCGTTTCTTATGGCTGAGTAGTATTCCATTGTGTATATATGATTTCCCTCATTAAGTAGTAGATAATAACAACAACAAACAAACACATAGAGACAGAGATTGGATTGGTGGTTACCAGAGGGAAAGGGGGGAGGGAGGAGGGCAAAATGGATAATTCCGCACAAGTGTGTGGTGATGGGTTGTAATTAGTACTTGGGTGGTGAACATGATGTAATCTATGCAGAAATAGAAGCATAATGATGTACACCTGAAATTTATACAATGTTATAAACCAATGTTACTGCAATAAACAAAAAATTAAAAAAAAAACACTCTAGTGGTTTCCAGTTATATCCAGAATAAAACTCAGATTTCTTACCCAGACTTTTAATGCCTACATTATCTAGCCCTTATCTATTTTCCAGCCTTATCTTGTACCACTTTTTCCCTTTGCTTTTATGATCTAGCTAAACTGGCATTCTTTTTGTTTCTCATACACACCAAGATTGTTTTCTTGCCAACCCTTTGCATATGCTGTTCCTTCTGCTGGGAATGCTCTTCCCCAGATCTTTGGATGACTAGTCCTTCTCGTCACTTAGTTTTTCAGCTTAAATGTTATCTCTTTAGAGAAGCCTTTCCTGATTACTTTATCCTATGTTATCCTCTCCCCCAACAACTGTCTAGTCACTCTCCTAACACTGAACCCTACTTTATTTCTCTTCATAGAATGTATCTTTATCTAAAATTCTATATTCATTTATTAATTGTATTCACCATTAAAATTCAGACTCCATGCAGGCAGTGAATCTTATCTGTTTTTTCATTGCTGTACCCACAGTTCCCAAAGCAGCACCTGGGCTACATTTGGTTGGTTAAGAATTTTGTCTCTCTAAAAACCTGCAGATCATATCAAACTAGTGGACTTTCTGACATCCGTTTTTTCAAGCATTTCTACTCCAGTGATATCAGACTAAAAAGAACAAACAATAACGCGTTGTTAGAAGTGGGGACGTCAGAAAAGTGCACTTTACATTCTAAGTGCATATCTGAAAAGGGTATATATGTATCCTTCTCATTTGTGTGGGGGGAATTTATGAGCAGACTATGTTAATACGTCTTAGGTCACTTTTAGTATGGGTTCAAAGAACTATATCCCTATGCCTTCTTCCCCCACCAGAGTCCTACAGATTCCCATAACAGCACATAAATAGGGCTAGTGCCATGTTTCATGGTCTGCTCTGTTTACACTCCTGGATTAAAAGAATTCACATCTGAAATTATGTTTGTAAGCTGGACATGATTCTCAACAATGATGAAGAATTCTTTACGCTCCATTTATTGAGGTAGAAAACTAGAGTGTTATGCTTAGAGTGTTTTGTTTTACATTCTAATCTTTTTTTCTTATTATTTAGATATAATTGACATATAACTATGTTAGTTTTGGATGTACAACATAATGATTCAATATTTGGATATATTGGGAAATGATCACAGCAATAAGTCTAGTTAACATCCATCACAATACGCAGTTACAAAATTTTTTTCTTGTCATGAAAACTTAAGACCTATTCTGTTAGCAACTTTCAAATATACAATACAGTATTACTAACTATAGTCACGATACTGTACATTACATCCCCATGATTTATTTATTTTTTAGCTGGAAGTTTGTACTTTTTAACCCCTTTCACCTATATCACCCACTCACCACCCTTCCCACGTCTGACAACCAACAATCTGCTCTCTATATCCATTAGCTGATTTTTGTTGTTGGGTTTTTTTGGGTTTTTTTTTCTGGCTTTATATTATTTTCCACATATAAGTGAGAGCATACAGTACTTGTCTTTTTCTGTCTTATTTATTTCACTTAGCATAAGTCCCTCAAGCACCATCGATGTTGTTGCAAATGGCAAGATTTCTTTCTTTTTTATGGCTGAATAATATTCCTGTGTGTGTGTGTGTGAGTGTATAAATACAATATTTTATTATCCATTCATCCATCAATGGACACTTAGGTTGCTTCCAAGTCTTGGCTTTTGTAAATAATGCTGCAATGAACATGGGGTGCATATATCTTTTTGAGTTACTGTTTTCATTTTCTTTGGATAACTATCCAGAATTGGGATTGCTGGATCATATGGTACTTCTATTTTTAATTTTTTGAGGAAACTTCATACTGTTTTTCACTTGCTGCACCAAGTTACATTTCCACCAACAGTGCACAAGGTTTCCCTTTTCTCCACATC